TATGGGTTACCATGGATTACCTTATGTTACCTTGATCCTCCGATTGGATCCGATTGGTGGAATCAGCAGGGTGGCGGGGTGTTTTGTTTTTGAATGCAGGGAACCTGTGCGGCCAATGCAACGTCCCCTCCGAAAAAGGTCAACACCAAAAAGAAGTAGTCAACCCTGACATCGCCAAACGCTTAATCCTAGACGTACCTGTAGCATCCCCGTACCATTTCTTTCCGAAGGCGAATTCGTAATAATCAAAGCGCCCAAAAAAGGTGCAAACACTCTGGTGTTTTGATGTGTCTTGGATATACAGGTTGTGGAACTGCTTTCCGCCCTTGGCATTGTTTTTACAATGCCCTTAAATTTCAAAATTGATTTCTTTGTGTTCCTTGTACCTCACTATCATTCACTATCTATATTAGTATAATCTCATTCCCAAGCAACACCTGCGGTCACCTGCAGAGCTGTTTGGCTCACAGAAGTTGATAGAACTTGTAGCCGTTAGTCGACTTAGTCGGGATGTCGTGGGGGCCCAGCAGGACATCTGGAGAATCTTCCTCACCTCCTAAGCCTCAGCGTTCAGTTTCGCCTTTGCAGCGGAGTGAAGTTGCTGGCCGTGTGGCGAAAACAGCTGCAGTGGTCAATGCAATGAAGCGCTCGGTTTCGCCTTTGTCGCGTGCGACGAGCTCGGCACAAGCCATTGGCCGTGCAGTGAAAGCGGCTGCAGCAGCAAATGCCATTGCACGCTCAGCTTCTCCAAGATCTGCGTTAGTCGGTGACTGGACCGATCCCAAGAAGCTCAAGGAGATAGCGAAAGATTTGCAACGGCAGCTGCAACGCAAGGAGTCCGATGCTTTGCGCCTGAATGACAGGGTCCAGAAACTTGTTGCTTTGAGGGACGAACAGTTGATCGAAAGTCAAGCTGAACGGAAGCGCCTGCACTATGCCCTCGAGCAGGAAGAAGTGGAGGCTCTTGCTGCCTTGATGGATTTCATAATATTTCATTGGGGTGAAGTGTGGTGAAGTCGAGACAAGCAGTGCAAACAATTGTGTGCGTCTACTAGCAGTTGTTTGCCGGCACGTGGGACTGACTGTCCCAACCCTTTTACGTACCGGCTTTGCTACACGAGCAGAAATTGGCTCGCGCCCTACATGTTATGTTAGTTATGAGCATGTGGCAGCATGCCATGTCAATCAGCAAGTCAATGACATGTTTTCAAATCATTGATTTAATTACTGTGGGGGTACCAAATCAGGTTTTGTCCTAGGTGTGCTTTCACATTAACATGATTTCATTAGTTGTGTAGTCATTTCTCCTCTGTGTATTATCTCTCCCCGGCTATTCCCATCGTAGCAGCTACTCAGCTAATTACATCTAATTACCCAAAGTCTTGAGATATTCATAGCTCAAGACACGCACACACGAATACGTATTATCAATGTGTTCCTCGTGTTGTTTCTTATTGGCTCTTCTTAATTTGACACCCCTTGATGCCTGTGTGCTTCATTGTGTAGCTGTAGCTCATTTGTGGCTGCCGCTATAATGCCGCTATAAGTTGCCGTTACATGCCGTTACAAGATGTTACAAGGAAATTCAATGAGTGTCACGGATAGCATCTCGCATACTTTTTCATGTTCTGATATGGTTTGATGGTGACACTCTGCCAGGTACAACGGTTGAAAGGGAAAAGCTCTGAACTCGAAGCTTTAGCTGCTGAAATGGCTGCCCGACGGGTCGATCAGCAGGAGCTACAGATGCGAATGCACTGCAAGGACTGCGCCGAAGAACGGCGGCAGAAAGCCGAGCTCATGGCCGACTGTCAGAGGTTACGCACTGAGGTCATGGAGTTTGACGCAATGAAGATCCAAATGCAACGCCTGCGGTCAAATCAGGACCGCATGAGGGACCAGCTGGTGGATGACATGAGAGCCTTAATTGCACATCATAGTGAATCAAGCCCTGTGAACCTCGTGAACGCTGCAGAGACATCACCAAGAGAGGCGTCAGCAAGACCTGCATACAGGGCACCACCATCTGTCTATGCTGCCGATGTATTGCCCGATGATTTCGGCGTTGCACGGGTAAAATGGGCGCGGTGAGCAGGAAGCTGCCATTATTAGCACTAGGAGGATTCAGAAGATTGTGGAACGCTGCAAATACTTTGGGGTAGAATATCTTGAAATTTAAATGGAGCCAATGAACTCTACTGACTGGAAGTTCAGCAGAAATATAGCAAGATATAGCAAGCTACGATTCTAGTCGAACAGGGGTTGGTTTTGCAATCTAGTGTTTTCCCGTGTTTACCAATAATGGACTCCTGCAGTGCTGTTGGTTGGGATTGGCAACACGTGCAGATTCAATGATGCAAGGGAATTATGACAATTATGGACGTAGACCTGGGCCGGCAGGAAACACAAAGAGAATTGCCTTTTGACACTATGAGCCCCTGAGAAGCCAAGCGGGGACGATTTAAGATATTAAGATATTCAAGGGGTGGCGAATGAGACC